ATTGAGCCACAGGCGCCGAGCCTCTTTTTCTTTTTTCTTGAGCAGAGTCTCACTATGTCGCCCTGGATAGAGTGCTGTGTTCCATGGTGTCACAGCTCACAGCAACCTCAAGCTCTCGGGCTGAGGTGATTCTTTTGCCTCAGCCTCCCAATTGCTAGTCTCCTATACCTGGGACTATAGGCACCTGCCACAATTATGGTCTATTTTTGTTGTTGTTGTTATAGTTGTCAGTGTTGTGTAGCAGGCCCTGGCTGGGTTCACACCCCCCACCCCCCATGTGTGGCCGGCACCCTACCCACTGAGCTACAGGCTCAGGAACTCATTTTCTTATGGAGAGTGTTCTCAGGAAAACTAAAAGACCAAAAATGTAATAGAAAAATGAGCAAGAGACAGAACTGTTTTAGGATTTGATTTCTAGAGTTGAATTGGGCGGGGAAAGTGTGATTTTACAGGTGTTCGACTTAGAACTCTTTGCTATACTATTAATGCATATCATTTTCAGGCATTTCTTTTTTCTGTTTGAGACAGAGTCTCAAGCTGTCACCCTGGGTAGAGTGCTGTGGCATCACAGCTCACGGCAACCTCACACTCTTGGGCCGAAGCAATTCTCTTGCCTCAGCTTCCCAGGTAGCTGGGACTACAGGCGCCTGCCACAATGCCCGGCTGTTTTGTTGATCTTGTCGTTGCAATTGTTGTTGTTGTTTAGCTGGTCTGGGCAGGTTTGAACCCACCAGTCTTGGTGTATGTGGCCGGCACCCTGCCCACTGAGCCATGGGCACCACCATTTTCAGTAATTTTTATATGCATATTTCATATAAAACATATTTAATGAATGCCTTCTTGGCATAATATTTTTTCTTATGTGATGAAGGACCCAGAACTTCTAAATCCCACTCTTCACTTTGGCAGTTAAGGATCATAGAAAAGATAGAATTTTATTTTATTTATTTAATTATTTAATTGTGTATTTATTTAGGGACAGAGTCTCATTTTGTTGCCCTCGGTAGAGTGCCATGGTGACATAGCTCACAGCAACCTCAAACTCTTGAGCTCAAGTGATTCTCTTGTCTCAGTCTCCCTTGTAGCTGGGACTAGAGGCACCTGCCAAGACACCTGGCTATTTTCTTTTGTTTGTTGTTGTTCGTTTTGTTTTGTTTTAGCAGGCCCAGGCTGGGTTCGAACCCATCAGCCCAGGTGCCTGTGGCTGGCGCCCTGGCTGCTGAGCTATGGGTGCTGAGCCAAGGATAAGAATTTTAAACGCCTAACAAATTAAATATTCTCTCATATGTTAAATCCAAATATTAAATAATGCCATCAAATTATTTTAAACAACCAAAAGAAGAAAAGGAAAGAAAAATGAGTGAAGGATAGAAAACAGACAATTCACAGAAGAAATACTAACAGTGGTCCTTGAATGGAAGAAGAATGCCTGACTGAATCCATAAAGGAAATGCAAATGGACATTATACTGTTTTCACCTATCAGACCAGAAAAAAATAAAAACAGTTGTTAAAACAATCTGTTGGTGAATTTGAAGGGAAATGAGGCCCTCCCGTCTACTGCTGTGGGTGAGTGAACGGGTACAACTTCTGTGGAGAGCAATTTAATTCCAAAATGCAAAATGCAATTTCATCTCTGTGGATTCATCCTACAGATGCACTCACAGGGTGGAAAAATCCTATATGTGCAAGAAGACTCACCACAGCATGTTTGTTAGAACAAAGGACTAGTAATATCCTCGATGTCCAGAGCAGAGAATTTATGGCACAGCCACACAGTGGGATTTTGGCAGCCTTTTAAAAGAATGAGGCAGCTTTAGACATATTGATGTAGAGCACTCTCTAAGACACTTTAAGTGAAAAAAGCAAGGGGAGAAGACGTGTGTCAATGCTTCCATTTGTTTAAAGAAGAACAAACAAGAATATGTGCATGTTTGTGCCTTCTGGAAAGAGAAACAAGATGCTGTTGGTGGGGGTTGTCTCTGAGGAGAATGTGGGGCTTAGGGAGACTGGTGCCAGGAAGCTGCTTCACTGTGCACCTTCCGGAATGTTTTGAATTCTGTATCGTGTACACGCATTAACTATTCAAGAAATGAGTGAATAAAACACTAACTAACAGTGAGTGGGTGGGAGGAGGTGAATGCTGCAAATGCAGATGGTTCTTTCAAGAACCTTGGCACTGAGGGGACGAGGAATGCAATGAGGAGAGAGAAAGGGGGTTAGAGGGTCCAGGCAGGTCCCCTCCCCAGGCTGGGAAGGTGTTTAAAGCTAAAGGCAGGGAAGACTCCAGGCTGGAGAAGGAGAGGAGGGACCCGAAGCAAGCAAGCAGGTGAACCTTGAAGCATTGGCGGGAGAGAGTGATATGTGGACGTGCGGACCCTGAGGAGGGGCTGAGGAGTCAGGGAAATTCACACCCTTGCCTCACTCTCAACACATAGTACACGGGAGGCCGCTGATTGGCCACTGAGAGGAGGCGGATAGGAGAAGAGACAGGTCTATCCTCTGAGCACATTCTCCTCACATGGTGTATTTTTAACAGTTCTAGGGCAGAATGTTTACATAGAAGAGTGATGAAAAGACAGGAAGAAAAGCAGCAAGGGTGCGAGGAGTTTGATCCTTCATACCATAAGGAGGCTGATCATTCATAATTCTACTGGGGCTCATTACTGGACGAGAGGCCCATTACTGGAGTTTGAATGTGTCCCCCAAAGTTCACCTGCTGGAAACTTAAGCCCCAATACAACAGTGTTGAGAGGTGGAGTGTTTAAGAGGCAATGAGGTCATGAAGCTCTGCCTTCATAAATGGATTAACACGTTTTGTTGTTATTGTTGTTTATTTTTTGTGAGACAGAGTTCCACTATGTGGCCCTTGGTAGAGTGCCATGGTGTCACAGCTCACAGCAACCTCAAACTCTTGGACTCAGCGATTCTC